ACAATTAGGGTAAATCCTTAATTGCCATGGCTTTCCATTTCCTTGGATCCATGGGTTCAAATACACCATGGAGCATCCATGGACCATCCTATGGGTTTTAGCCCAACTTGATTATCCATGGAGCATTAGCCCACTATATAAGTATGGATGATTTACACAATCAACCCATATATTTAATTAGTCTTCTTTTGATCACTTAATTAATCCTAGATTAATTCTTGATCAATACTAATTAAATAATCTTATTATTATTATTAATATACTAGAACTTATAATATATTAATAACCATAAGTGTCTTATTTCTCTCATTATAGTCTATCCAAGTGCATGATGGTATTCAACCCAAATGGACCATGTCGGGTCGGGTCAAGTCTTACCAATTATAGTTATGGACTTAGACATTAATCCAACAAATTTAACATAGAAAAATGCGTTTGATGATTATTTAAAACAGTTTTGTTGACAAGTAGCTAAAAGTATAGAAAATCCTTTTTGATTGCAAGTTATAAATCACATGTGATTTGATACTATAACTTCTTGTATTCAACTTGTATTCCACCCCATAAAACATTTAAAAACATTTGAAAGGTTAATTAAGGGGTATGAACTCACCAGTAGCGAGTGGATCGGGTGGAAGTGTCGGTTGATTGCTTGGTGTCAAGTGAAGACTTGAACACACTTTATGACTATAGTAACATATGAAGACATATGTTTACATATAATTAGAGATTAAAACACTAATTAAACACGTAATGACATCCTAATGCGAAGAAAGGCTCTTTGGTCAGGTGCTAAAGGCTATTGGATGGCAAGGAAGGAGTGTAAGGCCTTACTGTGGAGTTTACTCCTCAAATACTCACCTTAGGTGAGTTTGCGGTTGAGGGAGCAATTCCCTCATGAGTTTACGGCCGTAAACTCATGGGAGGAGTGTATTTGAGTGATTAAGGGTCTCTTACATCACTAGGAAGGGTTCTAGGGTTAAATCCATGGCTTGAGGGGTGTTTAGGGTTCATAAGGGGCACTCCCTTGGAGTTTGCGGTCCTTGGACCACTCCTTGGGAGTTTACGGTCATGAAAACCATGGTTTATGGCCATAAACCCTTGGTTACCTCTTATCCTTTGTTTTTGAGATCCTTAGTTCACTCATACAAGCTTTTAAGTTAAAGTCCAAGGCTAAATAGGGGGTTTAGGACTCAATTTGTATTATTTGAGGGAGTTTAAAGCCTAAGAGTGTTCCTTGGCCGTAAAACTTCTTTCAAGCCTCCAAACTTGATGTTTAAGGTCTAAAACAATTCAAGGTTAAGTTCTAATCTAGTCTCTAAGACTAAGGAAGGAATTTGGGGGCATTTTGGCACCCTTTTAGGGGTTTACGGCCTAATAGGGTTCTTGGTCCGTAAATTCCTTGTTCTTGACCTTCTTGAATGATTTTCATGCTATATAGACATGTAATGAGCTTAAGAACAATCTAGGGTAAAAGAACTTACAGTTTTGGGGTGAAAACTTGCGGATTTTTGGAAGAATCGGGCCTTGAAGATAGAGACAGAAAGTAGAGAGAGAGTGTGTGAGTAGAGCGGGAAAATTTTCCATTTAGTGCCCACTCAACCCTTATATAGGGGTTGAGTTTGTGACCAAGTGAGAATCTACCCGATACCGACATTAAACGGGGCTTATGGTCGTACCCGATTAAGTGGTCGTAATTTCACTTGTTTGTAACTAAAACCTTTTTAAGGGAATACTGAGGGTGTTTCACGTGTTTCTAATTTGTTCCGACCCTTATAAAGTCATAATAAAATTTCTAATTTAATTTGTCTGATCCCAAATGTTAACGAAAAAGTTTAATAAGAACGAGTTCTATTAACGGAAACGGGTTACGGTGACAGAATAAATTTCAGGTTGTCACAGTTACAAAAAACACCTGTTAGAAAAAGAGAAGGTGTCGTCTCAAAAATGGCAACCGGATGAAGATATGAAGTTAGCGAAATCATGATTTGACATTTCTGAGGATTCCAAAACCAAAAATGCACAAAAAGATGATCAATTTTTGACAACAAATTATGGAGCAATATCTTAAAGTTATGAGTCGTGACGACACTCGTTTTTTTATTGATAACAATAAAAGGTTGTTCATGTTTATCGATGGGTGGAGGTTTTTATCTGCATCCATGTAATGTATGAAAGTGTTTGGTAGCGAAGAAGGTTGTGAAATAAGAACAAAAGTTTTCGAGACTAGTTACATTGTTTCATTAAATGCACATTTTGGGGTTGATTTGAATGAAGCGGTAAGCTTGAACTTGAACAAATTGTTCGACCGATGTGTCGAGATAAGGTGAAAAAGAGAGGGTCTTCATCAAATACATCAGAAAAAGGAATAGGATATGACATTTAAAAGGTTGATAGTAATCCCAAAATTTATAATTTGAATTTTGAAAATTGTTTGAATTTTTAAAGAAAGAAATTGGAGGAGATAGAAGAAAGCTAGAGAGGAGAAACAAAGAAATCAATAGGAGAAGTAAAGAACTCACGATGTGAAATTTTTAACAAAATCTATCGATCCTCTCATTGGAAATGAGGTCTAAATGGTTTCGAGGGATAGAGAGGAAATCATGAAAATAATATTACAACTACGTGGCGAGCCCCCGCGTTGCGGGGGTCGGATGCGACAATTTTTTTCATTGTTTGTTCTTTGTAAATGTTATGTGATCAACTATTTGTTTATAGTTTGAGTATTGTTACGGGGCAGTTATATTGTTTTGTCATGGATAACTTTTTTGTTGTCGGATAAACTATTTATTGAAATATATACTTCATGGGTTTATCGTTTGGTTGACGGGATCGAACTGTAGAGTCGGATTTCATGGATCAAATACTTCATGGGTTTTTCCTCATTAAGTGCTGTCTAAGTATAACATTCGATACCTCAAAAGACATTTGATAAAATGACAACACACATACCTGATAAAAGCAAAGTCACCACAACAAACATTCACTACTAGAAAAATAGCCTTTTACGACGCGCTAACCATGACACGCAGTGATTTATGATACGCAAAGGTGAGTGTCTAAAAAGTAATGTCATCTCTTCCAAAATTTAAAGGATTTCAGACGTGCATTTTTGCGGGCCCTAAAATTAGTGTCTAACCAAAAAAAAAACACGGAGGGCACCTGCGTGTCGTCTACGACCGTCGCTTTATAAATTTTAATAGAACGCGCGCGTTCCATCCGGGGAAAATGAAATCCCAAAAACTTAAAATCCCCGCCTTCCTTTTTTTTCTCCCTCCACTTTAATTTCCCTAGTAGCTAGGGCTTTTTTTCAAGAACTTGCCCCGATTATGCCCTCCTGTACTGCTCATTTTCTCTTCAACTTCCCTTTCTCTCCTTCTCACTTCGACAAACACTTTCTCTTCTTCTCGGTTCTCGACGTCGACAGCTTCTCCCACCTCCGATGTTTCTCTTGGTGTTGGCGCCTCCCACCTCTGACCTCCGTCTAGCCCCGCCCCACCGTCCAATGCTTTCCAGCGTCACCCAGCCGATGGAGCCCCTCATCTCCAGCAATCTCACCTCGCCTGCCCTTGCCAGCAACATTAGGTCTGGTGACCTAGACCGAGAAAACTCAGAGCCTTCGAAGGAGTGGTGGCACTACTCAAATCCCAGCGACGGAAGGAAACTCTCTATCACAGCAACAGAAAGTCGGAGACTGGAATGGGAGAAAGAGAAATAGAAATCGAGAAATCGACTTATACAGTAAATGGGGAAGAATCGATGATGCACGCAACATGTTTGATAAAATGCCTCATCCGCCATGGTCTTAATCTACAAGTCTCTCTCTCTCTCTCTCTCACTCTCTCTCTCTCTCTACCCCATACTGCTCGACAACCACCCAGGCACCCACCACCCTTCGTCATCTCTCTGGTTCACCACACTTCTCCTTCCTATGTTTGTTAGATTCGTCATCTGATTGGCGAGTGTTCTGTAAAAAATGATTTTTCCGTTTCATATTTTATGGATACCTCAATCTTCCGTGATGATTATGAATGTAGTCATAGAGTACTCGCTCCACTATCATTTTCAATCATTTTAGGGCATGGAGAGGTAATTTTTCTAGTCGGGGAGGGTTTCAATTATATATCTACTATATCTATTTCTAACTTTTTTACAGAGGATCGTTATGATTTAGGTTTCAGTTTAGCTTCCAAGACACCTCACATGATAAGTGCAGCTGTTAAAGGCATAACTCCATTGAGTTATGAGTTTACTTATCTTGTATCCGTTGCTTTTAGTGTTTTTCAAGTTCTAGTTGTTGACAATTATCAATATTTTTTTATGTAACCCAATAAGTGTATTCCACCTGGCCGATAAATAATCCATCCAAAATTCAATCCCCCTTTTTTACCCGGGCTAATTCAGTAACCCAAGTACTCTGGGGACTGGGGGGTTCGCCACTGGAACAAAACTGTACGGACAATTCCAATCTCTCGTAAGTTTCGTTAATTTGAATATTTGATTTGTTGTGATGCGGCTTAGATCTTAATTACACTCGGATGCTCGCTTAGAAATAGATAATTTTTACAATTCGATTCACCCTTAATCTGTCATTTCGTTTTTGAAATCATTGATCCATCGTGATTGGGCTTTATGTGAGCATCTTCGTTTTCTAGATTTGAACTTTGTGGAATATCTAATATTACGTTAGATTTGCCATTAATTCGATAATTGTTTGAAATTTCAATTAGGCTTAGCATTTTAGGGCATGACCGTTTGGAATCTGTGTTTCTGTTTGGTGTTTTGGTTTCGTTGCCTTTATTTGTTTCGTGTTTTCATGATGCATCTGAACTGTACTGGTTTTAGGTGTCTGATAATATACTGTACATATGAAGTGATATAGCTGTATTTTTCTTTAGCATGCCAGATGTGGCGTCTAATTTTATATCTAACTGTAACTTCTGTAATTGTGATTGATGATTTTGGGATTTTAGGCTTACCATCCGGGTTGATTACTAGATATGGGGGTTTACCTAAGCACACCTAAAACTGATAAAACATCCGACGATGGTGAGAATGAGAAACTGAGATATGGAGTCTCATCCATGCAAAGATGGCGCACATCAATGGAAGATGTGTAAGTCCCTAGTATAGGCTACTTGTTAGTTATATAAGCTATTGTTCCTGTTTGGATTTTCTATATTCTAAAAAGGTATGATAGTTTAATGCTCTTGTAATCTTGTTGAATTTTCTCTATATCTCTCTATGATACAACTTTCAGTCAGCCCAAACATTGATCACTATAGTAATTAACCAAGATTTTATGTGTCAATATGAGGTGTTTGGTAGCATGCTGCTTTACTTGACTTGGACAACTCCACATCTTTCTTTGGCGTTTATGATGGCCATGGAGGTAAGCATATGGATATAGATTATATACACACATGTTTGTTTCTTCATATATAAGGTGTCCTCACTAAGCTTTTTTTTTATCTTTCAGGGCAGGCAGTCTCTAAGTTCTGTGCCAAGTATTTTCACCGGGCAACTCCTGAAGCAGGAAGCTTATGCTGCTTGTGATATTGGAACTGCTGCCCAGAAATCTTTTCACAGGTTACTCTTCTATGTTATCTATTCACACTAGCCAAATACATGGCTGTTTTGTCTTGTCTGTTATCTAAAGAAATTGGTATCATTATGCAGAATGGATGAGATGATGTGTGGAAAACGTGGCTGGAGAGAGTTAGCTATATTGGGAAATAAAATGGATCAATTCAGTGGCATGATAGAGGGACTAATTTGGTCACCAAAGGGTAACGATTTAAAAGGTCTAAATGATAATTGGTCTACTGATATTGGGAAATAAAATGGATCAATTCAGTGGCTTGTTAAGCTCTTTCAATCTGTTGGGACATACAACACCTATCCAGGCTGGATCCCTTCTACTTGTGGGCCCATTTCTTGATTACTGGTTAACAGAAAAGAGAGTCAACATGTTTAAATATGATATTTCCTCTATGGTGAGTAAGAGTATATTTATACAACTATAAACCAGTAATTGTTAACAGAATCATGGTTTTATCTGTGTAGGATTTCTTGGTGTTATTGATAGAGGATAAGGAATTGGTCGAAAATCCTATGATTGATGCTTGGTTGCTGAAGAATAGAAAAAGTCCCTGGGTTGGGAAGAAAGAAGGGTTACAAGGATGTTGGATCTTTTATTGAACTCACTCCTGATGCATCTGAAGTGGTAAGTCTATTTGTTCCCTGGAGGATAATATTGTAATTGTTCTACTTGTTCTAAAGCTACATCCCTATCATATACACACAGTTAAATTTTACGAATTTATCCCAACCTAATACCCATACGCATATGTCCATTTTAACACACGCCTACATTCAACTATCTGCAATAGAAAACCATCATTTAGAATAACAAAAATATATTAAAATTTAAATATAAGTAAGCATATACCTGCAACCTAACTTCTAGAATAAATTTCAACTGTGTCTTGGGTTGGCATTACCTCTCACTAAGTTTTGCAAGCTGAAATTTTACCAGATGTTAATAAACCTAATAAAATACTAAAAAAAATACTTTTTAGTTTTTAATATAATATTACCAAAAAAAATATTGGAATTCTAACTTACATGAACTGTTTGCATATGCAGTAAATCCGCAAGTGCTTTTTGCCTCGACTGTTAATGTGAAAAAAAGAATCAAAGTATTATGTATCAGAAACATAAATTTAAAAATATATAGAAAATTACAATTATGCCCTTGTATACTGATTGGTTAGTAGCCCAACGTTCATAATAGTGAGTATATCTCTCTAAAGAATTCTTTGCCATTTCACTTCTGTGTTCAGATTCATCATACTACAAATGGAAGTGGAATGAATTACAAGATTAAAGATTTGAGACTTTAAAAAATGAATAATTGTAATGTTTTATTGAATTTAGAGTAAAATACAATTAGTTTTATTACATGATGTTTATAATTCATGAATGTTATAGCTGCATTTGCAACCTTGTTCTAACAACAAACCCACATGTAGTATTTAATTGTTTATTTACAGTTGTGCCCCTGAACTATTATGTATTAACATCCATAAGCCTTTTGTTCTCATGTTAGTTAAGATTCATAAAGATACTTATGTTCTAGCTGAATATAAATAAGTCTTTCTAGTAGCCCCACCCTTATCCTTAGCAACATAATTAATTACATTAGCATCTAATGTAATTCGGTTCTGCTTACAGTAACGAGGAAGAAGCAAGCCATTGTATCTAGTAGTTTTGGAGGAAACGAGACTCAAGCAAAAAGCAAACACACGGAGAGTTGTTGGCAGATAGTAAGCTAGATAATGCAATTGTATATTCTGCTTCTCTTGAGTTCATTTTTTTATAACATTTACTCACTATTGGAATAATTATTTGTATTTGACATATTAGTGAAATGAGTTATCTTTGTTATTTATGGTATTTTATTTGTATGACATTAAATTTTATGCAATGGATTGTAGTTTTTGTATATGATATTTATTTTCTATTATGAGAAATTAAATACAAATTTAATTTGAAAATTAGTAAATCTGTAAATATTTTTTTTAAACATTTAAATTTATGATACGCAAAAATGTGTGTCATCTTCATTTATGACATGGCCTTTCTTGACAGGGGCTTTCTTAGTACGCATTGCGTGTCATTAACACGCGCGTCATAAGGTTACGACACGCGAATGCGTGTCGTCTTCCTTTATGATAGGGCCTTCCTTGATACACATTGCGTGTCGTAAACGCGCGTCGTAATTGCGCGTAGTAAATGAGCGTCGTAAATGCGCGTCGTCTCTCTTTATGACAGGGCCTTCCTTAACACGCATTTGCGCGTCGTCTGAGCCTTTTACGTCGCGCAATGAGTTTCGTAAAAGGCTGTTTTTCTAGTAGTGATTTAAAAAAAAAACCTATTTGTTGATCAATGTGTGTTACAATATGCTAATAAGTTCAATTGTCGGCTTTGTTAGATTCCATAAGCCCTGAGAAAAGAAAAGAAAAAAAACATATCAAAACTTTGAAAAACAAATAAATACAATCAAGAAATCAAGGCCAATAATTTATCATACCACGTTTTGAACATCTATAACAGAAATTTGACAGATTTTGACAGCAGTGATACAATTAGTAATCTAATGGTATTTTCTTAACTAAAGGCAGATCAGAAAATCAAAATTTTATAAATAGCCATAACCAAAACACGAAATTGAAAGTAAACTAAAATTCCTAACTATACAACATAATAATAAACTCAACTTCTTAGCATTTACCTTCCAAATATCACTGTAGCCTCAAATTTTTATGTTTTCCTGAAAATCTTCAAATTTATGAACCTCCTGCATAAACAAATAAACGACTGTAAAATACGATTACGTCCAAATCAAATAAAAAAAAACAAACAACTATTGAAAGCTAAGGCTTTTATTAATCTCAAGAATGCAAAGAAACTGGAGACATGCAGTTTATCATGATAATAACCAAATAAATAATAAATGTATAAATTAACATATAAAAGACTTACGATAAGCTCCCTTTGCATCCGGAAGAATCAGAAACATGAATATTTAAGTTAAAGGGGACACTTATCATGTATACGCTTTGATTCTTAATGGATTAGATGGTCATATGATATAAAAATTTAGAACCAAATGGGAGTCATATTCAAATAATCGAAAAAGTACATTGGTATTTTTTGACAAACATAAATTAGTAAAATAAGAGACAAAAATGAAATTTAAAGAGACAAAAACGAAGATGGTGATTTTAATAAAGACAACAATTACAAAGAAAAAATGGTTTCTATTTTACTTACTTTAAAATTGTCATTTTGAGAAAATAAAAAAATATATGTACTTAATTGGTCAAAATGACAAAAACAGTTCATATTCATTCTTTCGTACTTGTAATCCAAGTTTAAATAAACCAAAAGATAATTTTTTTTGTCAAACCTGATTAAAAATTAACAAAATAACCATAATAGAAAATTTAACAAAAAAAAGACTTTTAAATTGTCAAAATATGCATTAACGTTTTGGATGCTCGCTTTTGTTCGTGTAATACAAAGTTTATATTAACCAAAATACTAATTTAAGTTGTCTTCGTTGATTTAAATGCGCCAAACGACAGAAAATGGTAAGTTTGACCTAAGTAACGAAGATAGCCTTAAATTTGATGTGTTTCAGGTTATAGGGTTATGACCTATAAGATATCAAACTGAAACTCAACTGTTATTTTTTGAACTTGAACATAGTTTCTCAATTGAGGTTTATTTAGTACAATGATATAATAGAAAATAGTGGACTCTCTACCTCTTCTCAGATGTGTCTTCCATGTGCTTTCATGTGGATATCATCTCCCTTGTCAAATGCTTTCCATGTGTAGGGCCAATGTGGTCTTGAAGCTGTAGAAAATTGGTTTTATTAATATAAAAAGTGTGCAGGGGCAATATGGCCCTAAAAGCGAAAAAAATTATTTTTTTAAACGCCTACAATCCATCTAGAATAAGGTGATTACGTGATAATCAACCACCAAAATCGTAAGGAACCCATTAAAATCGCTAAAACCAACCTGTATATTCAGAAAAACGTCTGTAACTTAGTAGTGCTTGCCTCATGTTTCTGCATGTTTCTACAATAGACACAGATGGCTGTAGACCCGTGACCACCAAAGCATGAGATAAGTATGTGAGAAATGGAGGAGGTGAACCATCATTCAGGTAAAGAGGGTAAAAGGGTAAAACAGTAAAAATAAAGAGATACCTTGAAGATCATTCCATTAAAAAATCGATGGTGCCTGCTTAACTAGACTAAAATCTGACCAGCACCGTCCTCTACCTAAGCGGGAGCGGTTCATACCTCAATACGTGCTTTGGAAAAATGCAAACCGAACATAGAAAATATAAATAGTGTAACAACAACTCGAAATCTACCATGCATTGAAGCTCCTGCACCACCTCCCATTACAATTCCTCTAAGGAGTGATACCTTCAAGGATCTGATATGATTTGAAGTCAACATAAAGATCATCATGGTAAAATGAAAGATTTTGAATTTTCTGAATAATTATATTTGTAAAAACTAAAAAGAAAGCACTGAATTCTGAGAGTTGATTACTTGTGGTTTAGTGTATGTTTCCATCAAATAATTCAATGTAAACTCATTTGATAAAAAATTTGCACCACGTTTCCAGTTACCTGATACCCAAAAAAATGGATAAATAATAATGAAAATGCATACAACATCTCCACCAGCACAAAAAGCCTTTCCTTCACCCTGCATCCACATTCCAAAATTAACCAGTAATACTCTTCCTAGATTTTTTTTTTGGTTGAGGGGGTACCTTCATGATTATTAGCTTCACATTGGGATCCTCCTCATAGGCATGTAATAGTTCCAAGAGTCGGGATATCTAGAAAGATAAGATACAAATGATATGTCAACTTTCATTTTTTACTACATAATAAATTTATAGTGCTTCAAAAATAATTTATCTTTTATAGAAATAAATAGAAAATGTTTATCTTACCATTTCAAAAGAAAGAGCATTAATTTGCTTAGGCATGTTTAATATGATGGTTCTCACATTTGAGCTCTCTTTAACCAATACCTGCATACAAGGATAATTCAAGCTTCAATACATTTTCCGTGAAATCTATAAGATAAATAGATGAACCAAGTTGACATGCTCAACAATTGTTAAACATAACTTTTTCCATGGTCCTCACCCCAAAAAATGAATGGAACCACACACTATTTAGAGATTTATATCCAATTAATTAAATTCTTAATGATGAAATTTGTTTTTAAAAATATGAAAGGAATTCTTCATGATCAAAGCCTATTAAGGAAAGAAAAGGTGAATCTTACTTGAATGTCAGGTGTCTGAGAATCATAGAGAATAACACACAGTACCAAAATAGAATCTTTAAGATAATGAAGGAATCTAAACTAATTATTTCCTTACTCACTTATGAAAGCCAAAATAGGATCAAAGTCAATGAAAGGGGGAAGAAAATTATATTGAATTGTGTGGTAAAATGAACCATTTGACATCTGATTGATTTATTCGACTTCACTTGACAAAAAAGATGAGAAGAAAGATCTGACCTGGTTTTGCTAACCCATGTAATTGTTGGATATAGTGTCTAAGTCCATAACTATATTTGGTATGTACTTG